CTGGCTAATTCCGTTAACGAACGAGACCTCAGCCTGCTAAATAGCTACGCGGGGACCTTTGCTCGTGGCAAGCTTCTTAGAGGGACTGTTGGACGACTAGCCAATGGAAGTTTGAGGCAATACCCGGTYTGTGATGCCCTTAGATGTTCTAGGCCGCACACGCGCTACACTGATGAATCCAACGAGTCGCTTGCCTGGGTCGAAAGGCCCGGGTAACCTTCTTAAGGTTCATCGTGACGGGGATAGATTGTTGTAATTATCGATCTTAAACGAGGAATGCCTAGTAAGCGCGAGTCATCAGCTCGCGCTGATTACGTCCCTACCCTTTGTACACACCGCCCGTCGCTCCTACAGATTTAAGGGTCCGGTGAAGTGTCTCGATTGCGGTGATCTCGGCGGTTTGCCGCTGGGGGTGCTGTGAGAAGTTCATTGAACCTTATCATTTAGAGGAAGGAGAAGTCGTAACAAGGTTTCCGTACGTTGAAGAGCACAGCGATGATGTTCACAAAGCCCTTGCAACGATGAAGAGCACAGCGAAATGCGATATTGAATGTGAATTGCAGAATCCGTGAGCCATCGATACCTTGAACGCACGTGGCGCCCAAGGCTTCTGCCGAGGGCACGCCCGCCTAAGCATCATTGGATTCCTCACGACCTCAGCACCTTCCGTTTCGGAGAGTGGTGGGGTCCGTGGTCGTGGCTTCCCTCCCTTCCCACTTGGAGAGCGTCGATAGCCTAAAGTGGAAGGGAATTGGAGAGCAATCCGAGCGGGCCTGTCGGGGCCGCAGCCCATAGTGGTGCGTATCGCTCCGCCCTGTTGTTGCCCTCCAGCACCCGTTTGTGGGTGGTGGTCTTCGTTTCCCTGAAAACGGCACGTAAGGTCGTCCCTCCGGTTTGTGTGGTCGCCGCCTTCCATTCGCTCCCATCAGCTTGAGGTGGGCTTGCGGTTCGAGCTGTGGAGGTACGTCGGGCCTTGCCGTTCGATCTCAGGTCGAGTGGGAGCACCCGCCGAATTTAAGCATATAACTAAGCGGAGGAAGAGAAACCAACGASGATTCCCTTGGTAGCGGCGAGCGAACCGGGAATAGCCCAGACTGAAAATCCGGGGGCTATGCTGCTCCCTGAATTGTAGTCTTGAGAGGCAACGTCTGTAGCGGGCTGTGTGCAGGCTCCCTGGAAGGGGACGCCGAAGAGGGTGACAGCCCCGTCGACCGCCGGACCCTGCTGCGCAACGAGGTGTTGTCCAAGAGTCGGGTTGCTTGGGAATGC